AGGTTAAACACAATCTAAAATATATCTTTTTTAAAATTTCTGAATCTGGCGTTGTGAGAACAAGACACCGAGGTAGGAATACGTTGATGAATTATTCCCCATTTAACTCGCTCCGCTGATGTGGAATCGAAAACAAACAGACAAAACTAATCGTTTTTGTCTTTCCGCCAACAACATAATATTATGTGCAGCCAAATAATTAACGTGATTAGCGCAATTGGCATGGGACGCTGTTTTCCTTTGTCAGCTTCTGTTTGGCTTTCTGCTTAAATAGTAATAAACAGTTCATGTATCAATGCCTTACTGTAAAACCCTGTAAGTCACAAAATCATGATTTTAGTTTTATTTTTTTTATATTAGACTGATTCGAATGATCCTTTTGTCCCTTCTCCCAGAGGAAAGTATATAGCGTGTACCTGACATCTTGACATCAGTCGGATATGATTAAAATGAAAAGCTCTGACCCACGACAAAAAGGTAATTTTAATAGCTCTCTCATTAGCTGTGACTTGAAAGGTTTTTGTTGTTGTTTTTTTGTGTTTTTTGGGTGTTTTTTGGGGTGGTTTTAGATTTATTTTTTTTAATTTAGGGGTGGAGGTTGTTGGGTTTTTTTCAGTTTTGAACAGTATAGCTTTTTAAAGCACGATACCGTTGATATTTTGGTAGCAACAAACATGCCAATCTATCCCAGAACGCCGAGAGATCGATGAGTCTGGATATTGACAAGGAAAAACATAGGAGAGGGATGGGCGTGTGAAAAACGTATGGAAAGAGGTTCTGACTGGATTAAAACGGTGACGACAGAGATGTTTCTGGAATGCTCCTGGCCGTTGCTTTGGTCTGGCATTTCGCTTGCTTAGTGATTAAAGGGCCCATTAGCCATACGCGAGTGTTGCAGTTGTCACTTTTTGACTCTGCTGAGGTCATTACTTGTTATCGAGGAAAGAGAAAACAGATATGCATTAAGTCCACAATTAAGGCTATTATTGTTATAATACAGTTGTGTTACTGCCAATGATCGGGGATTTGCAGGCAGCTAAATGGAATCAGCGACATGCGAATTTATAGTAGATGGATTTCAGTCTGATATGAAATAAGCAGTGTGAATGTTGCGCTAGATATAGCTAAGATCGATTTCTAAAAACTAATTCTGAAATTTATGCCACAGAGAATGCTTAATTTGACGTGCGAATATAAAACATGGAACTTTCTAATAATATGGTACGCATATGCCCTTTCAAGAAGCTTACCATCTCAGTACAAAACGCTGCCCTTCACCAGTATAATAAATGCCTCCCCCCCCCCCCTTAAAAACAATTGAAAAAGGGGGGAGAAAAGATGCATAG